TATATATATATATATAATTTAAACATTTGGTATCCAATTAGATAAATTTCTCAGGTGGAATGGTGGTTTCATCAATTTGCACCAATGAGATTTTCATATAATCAGTCCAAGATTTCCTTTCTAATTCTATTTTCATTATACTGAAAAACAAACCAAATTTTCTATCAAAATAGTTAAGGGAAAGGTAATCATTGTCCCATTTACCCACAAGTAATAAAACCGGAAGCAGGTCTGTCACTTGGAAGAGAAAGAAGCAGCCCCAGGAAGAGAGAGGTAATCTACCCAACTTTCCTCTTGTTCAGAAGACTTAGGTGGAAAAAAAAATCACAAAAATTGTTCATTTGTCCAGCAAAATCTTGTAAACTCACCCAAGAGAAGATTCTGATTGCTGCAGCATCTTTAACACAAAGCAAAACTACCAAAAGACAGGTTCAGTTTAGACCTAGCAAAATGCACTGGAGATGGCTGAGGTGAAGAGCTACAAACTAATTCAGTCTTTTTGGGCAGCACATCACGTCAGAGTCAGGGAGCTTGGCTTGTAGGCATCTGCCTCTAACTTCATCTCCCAGAGGGAAGGATAAGATGAAAGGGGCAAGAGAGAAGATAAAGAACCCTAACAATGCCTTCTTTAGGTTTTCTCAAGTCTCTAATGTATAAATAGTGATTCAGCAAGCCTCGCTGTGCTTGCCATATTTGAGCAAGTGAAGTATTCAGCTGCAGCCCCGAGTGTCTTGGCTGACCATGCTACTGGGAGGACTGGGAGGAGGAAGGTAAGGGGAAGAGGTATGGACCGCTAGCTTGTAAACTTTTAGGTTTCACTGAAAAGCCACGTGACCAAAGTCTAAAGGATCATGTGCTCAAGGAATCGGCTTCCTTTCCTGCCAGCAATGTGGTGGGAAGTCAGAGAGATGGAGAGGGCAACAGCAAACGGTGAAGCTTCTTTCCTGCTCTCTGACAGATGAATTCAGAGGAAGCCCCAGAACGTCAGGAAACATCTACAGCAGCGGGAATTGCCTCTTTCGGGAGCGAGGTCTCGAGCTATTTGGAATCTCCCTCTCCCTTGTCAGACAAAGGAAGCTAACATCATTTCTTGGCAAAAGCCTTTTCCTATGCTTCTCTCCCATCTGCCCAAGTTCAAAATTATACTTGAGCAGAGCCCACTGCTTCACTTGCCATTTGAGCTGGTTAAAATGGCAGGAAGGGGCTTACTTACTCTGTAGCCAGAGCCCCAGCAGACCTGGTAACAAGTGACAAGGTGGTTGTGAAGAAAGGACTTTGTGAATGCCCTTGAGAAATCTGCCATAATACTAATTCTAATAGACTGGCATCTTCATGAAATCTTCATGAAACAAGCAAACCAAAACGAAGTCCTTTCTACAGTTTTCCTAACAATTTTGGAGCAGCCTACCTTTACTTACAGTGAAGGCACTTTTCTAAATAATCTGGGACTCTCTCTTGGTTGAGCTGAGTTACCTCCTCCCAACGGGAGACTTTCTTCCCTTTCTATTTCTGGCATATATTCTCCCATGTAGATTTCCTCTGATTTCTGTTGGTTATCAATTTAGGTTACTGGTTTTACTTGCAGAAGATAAGTTTGAAAACAAACAGGTGGATTGATGGACAGACAGACAGATTAGGTGCATAGATGGAAACATAAAACACTAAGATTTACCAAGGGTTTTTCTCACCACATCCCAGTCAAGTGGATAGGTTAGTATTCTTGTCCCCACTTTGTAAATGAGAAAAGCAAGACTGGTGGATCAAAGTCGGGTCTTGACTCCTGCTGCTTACTGCACCCTGCTCCCTCCCTGTGTGCTTATCTGGGCACGAGAATACTCAGAAAGAGAATCCAGTGTTTCCTCATCCCTCAAATGAGGAGAGGGTGATGTTAGCTGGCCTCTAAGGTGCCCTCAACTCTTAATCTGTGATCCAATAAACATAAGGACCCTAAACAAGAGTAACTATGATTCTTATCCTTCCACTCTGGTCAGAAGGCAAAACTCTCCTTTTTTAAAGGATCCTTACTAGTTCTCCTGTAGTGAGTTTTAAGGCCTATAGTTAGCCTGGGGGGTGGAGGGCCGATGCAGGTGGGGGTCAGGAAAGCCCTTGTCCTTGTGGGTATCTGATGCTATTGCACAAACTGATATCCACTCACCCACTAGGTCATCAATGAATGCTTGCTAACTGGCTGTCAGCTGCCAAGAAAAACACAAGAACCTTTGTAATTCGGTGAAAAGAAAGCTACAGCCTATAAGCAGAGCACAACATAGCAAAGCCCTCAGTAATCAATGCCCATGGACAAGGACCAACAAGGCAGTCAATTGTGAAGGGCACTAGTGCTCAGATCAGACCTTTC